TCATGTTTGGCCAAGTCCTCAGAGCTAAAAGTATATAAAATTTCGATATGAAAAGTCCTTAATTTGTGTTGAAAATTAAAGCCAATTCACTTACTGATTAACCAACAACACCACCGTGGCACCGGACAAGCCCAGCAGCCCCATTACTAGGATATTGACCAGTATCCTCTGGAGTATCACGCGCCAGCTGAAAAAAGAGACGTCGTATCGATTATGGTAAGTAAATAGCTGTTGTCCTGCCGCCGCTTACTTGCGATTATCCTTTTTCTTCTCGGCCTCTTCGAGCAGGGCCTCCTTGAAGCCCACCACCACGGATGCGATGCGATTGTGGGCCGTCTCCGCGTGTCCTGCGAGAGTTGTTTAAAGTATCAAGCATGCAGGATGCACAGAAAAGGCACTTCGCTATAGCCACTTACCAATCATAAAGTCCCAGCCGGTGAAGAGTTTCCACGAGAAAACGCACTCGTCGTCCTTCGAGGAAAGTTTCGAGTTGCGAGAGTTTTCCGCCATCCTGTCGACAGATCGAAGAAAAGTTTTTAGCCTTCAGTTAAGCGATTTCCCACCTTCCTGGCTAACCCACACCGACAGCCATAATTTGTGCTCCAATCCCGGCAATCCCCGTTCGAATCCTGCCATGGTGGCCATTTGAATAATTCACGCACGCCGAGCACGTGCAACGCCAAGTGGCAAAAGGAGAAAAAGTAAAGAGCGGCAGTGGCAGGGGGCAAGGTCAGTGTGTTGACATTGCTACTTTGTTCAATTACGAAATCAACATAATGCCGACAAAGCCATTAAAGCTAGCGAGTCCAATGGCAGCCGCACGGTCAAAATGGCGTTTTGCCGTTTCCGTTTCCGCCGCCATGACCGCCCCACCACGCCTCAGTTCTGTTATGTTCTGCTTTGTCCTGTCCGCCCACTCTGCCACGATTTTCGTCCTGCGTCCTGCCTTCTGCGTGCGTGCGTAAATCATAATGGCCAATGCCGTCTTTTTTCTCCGCCACTTTGCTTTTCTAACAAAAAAGTTTATTCGGGTCCCCAGACACGCCTCGTGCCAAGATTTGTATTATTTAATCAGCGCTTCAGTTTTGTTTAATTAATTAACGAGCAGTCCGACATTTAGTTTGCTTTTTGCGGCTTCGATGACCAAGGATTTAATGAAGTGCCTGCCCCACAACCACTCATATGCTTACATCCTGAGAGGCTCTTGCATTTCGGCCCATATAACCCCAACATACTCACTTCCTTAGCGTGGCCACAAAGCTGTATATGTAGACCAGGACGGCGGTTAGGAAATAGGCCAGAGGCAGTTTATATCCGGACGTGCTAATGCCGGAAGTGCTTGAGTAGTAGCTGGGGGAGAAACATCCAGAAAGTAGTAGAAGATATGGGAAAGTAATTAATAAGATGTTTTCTAAAAGAGACTCATACTTTGAAAAGCAAACAGATACAAATGCCATTAAAAGCCTTAACTCTCTATTTACCCATAAAACATTGGTGAATATTTCAAGTATCCTTCAAACTCCCAGAACGTAAAAAGATTTCCAGCCACACGCTTTTCCGGATCGGACATTTTCTTTCTTGGATCCGTTTCATCGGGTTTGGTGGCAAAATACTGGGATAAAGACAGGACAGAAATGGCTCATAAAAGAGTCTGTAAATAAATTGGCTACTTTAAAGGCTACTACACTCACCTCCGGGCCAATGACAAAGGCCACCAGCGGAATGGCAATCATGATATTGACCCACATAAGCCAGCGCAGAAATGTAAAGTAGGAGGCCACGCCGGATCCGAAATGCGATTCGATTTCCTTGATTCTCAGCTCCCAGGGAATCAGGACGGTAAGGAAGCTGGCCGTCTCTCGTTTCCAGTGGCGCCATCTCTTTCAAAAGAGGGGCAAGGATACAAAAGAAAGAGCGTGCACATGGGGGGAGAAGGGAAAATATATCACATGAATTATGTTTCCGAGGAATTGCATACTGAAAGTTCGTATTTTAATTGGTTCTTCGCCGCATAACTCTGTGAATTATGCGAGTGTGGATTTATTGAATGTCCGTGTCCGTCCCGGCAGCCGGAAAGTGGCCGATAAATTCTGTAAACATAAATATTTTGCATGGCTTCGAGGCACTCGCCTTGGGGCCCAGCCTCGCCAGTGCATTCCGGCATTTCCGGCCGATTCCGGGAGGAGCAAGGATTGGGTTTATTGGGTGCTGGTTGGGAGGGGGTAAGAGAGGGGGGTCTTAAGGGGATTAAAATCACTTACTGCCGCCATTAAAATTTTAAACCTCGCCCACAAGTCCCTCGTGCTGCGTGACATGGCGAAGCGCTCCTGGAGCGCGCCCTCGTGGCGTGCCACATATGTTTTGGCCTGTCAACAGATCCGCAAGTCGAAAGTCCAAAGTCCAAACATCATTAAAAATGCCAGGGCGAAGCACAAGATGGGAGATAAAGAGGTGGTGTTGGTATTGTGAGTGTGAATGAAATCGAAAACTTTGCCTCCGGATTTGATGAAAGTTCTGGCTGGGAAAGTCGGGAGACGGGAAAGGAGGTCGTAACATTTTCAACGACCTGACAAGCGGCGTGAAAACGAACGCGCCCAGTTTTCTTTTTCGGAAGGAGAAGGTGGGGAGAAATTCCTACCCACTCAACGCCCACTTGCCCAACCACCCACTTTCACATTCCCGAAAGCCATCATCTTAAAGCTCTTTAACTCAACCCACCTGCCGCACCAGCTTGAGCTTCTTGCGAATGGGCCATGGCTGTAGCTTCACCGACTGTATGACCTCCTTGTGTAGGCGTATGTTCTCAAAGATTTGCTCTTGGGTGGACTCCTGATTGGTGCCCTCTTCTATGGTGAGGAAATAAAAAGCCCAGCAAACACACAGATTACACATACGCTCATCAAGCCCGTAGTATACGGCGAAATGGGGGCACGTAGCATGAAAAATTACAGAAAACAGGCCCCCAGACGTTGATTAGCTGGCACCCAGGACCCGTGGCTCGTGAGCCATGAGAACGGTGGGTCGTTAACCAAAGCAAAATCTGTTTTGGACACTTTGGGACAGTACTTGCCTGAACTGGTCGTATAGACACTCGAGCGTCGCCGCTCCACACTATCCAGGACGTGATCCATGGGACTGGATGCCCGTCGCGAACTCCGACTGCCACGTTTGCCTCGATAGCCGCGCACACTGGCACGTCTTTGCATTATTGCCGATACGGAAATTGAGTAGTCCTCCTCATCGTCAATGTCGCCGGTGCCGCCATCCTCGGTCACAATACCAATTCCAATGCCTGGTGTCTCCAGATGGCAGCTCTCGGCGTCACTGCTCTGGTATTGCGATGGAAAGTCTGCGGGATAATGGGTTTGAGGTCCTGCAATTTTCGAAGGGCTTACTCTACTTTTTTTTTGCACCTACCGTTTAGTTCGTAGTTTCGTTGCTCTTCCTGGGAAGCAGCTTTTCGTCCTTTCTGGCCTCTGTAGAATTCTCTCTTGGCATCGGCGCTACTCTGCATCTGCCAGCCACCTCTATTCAAGTCGCATGGCGGAGCCCAGGTTACGGATAGTTGATGCGGCGATGTAACTCCAGAGTTGTTCTATTAAAAAGCACTTTTAGCTAAATTCTTCAATTGGTTTTTGAACTAATTTTAACAATTGATTATTTTATTTTAAAGCTCTAGCTTGATTCTATTTAATTTTGTAGAATAGCCAGATTTTTGTCTGGCTGGTAGCAGTCTTGTTGGCAGACTGAACGGCTTAGCTCGCTGACCAGGCCAAAAGACCAACGGTCTAACCAAAAGGACATCAGCCACACACTTATACACTGGCATATTATATATATATAAGGACAGACAGGTGGAAAGAGCGAGCAAAAGTTAAATTTTTCTAATAATGAATGAATATGAATGAAGGAGCAGGGCCACACTCAGACCAACCCACTCTTGGCCAACTTATCAAAGCCAAAACGTGCCCAAAACCAACAACACTCGGACCAAACACACACTCAGATATACTGTGTGTAAACCAGAGAAGGCGTAAAGGAATTTACACGGACAGGCGGCCAGAGGAGTCCAGGGAAGTCCTGGCCACCGAGGCACATATCTCTGACTTCCTCGCCCAGTTGGAACGAAGACGAATGAGTGTAAAAATCGCCAGCGGCATGTGATAACAACGCCGTATCCGGGCGTAACCAGCCAGGACTTCGAATGTCCATTTAGATACAACAGTGGGCGAGTGTCTGGGTGTGAGTGTATGTATGTCTGTATGTGTGTGTGTCTTATATTGAGTCACGTTGTATTCTTGGCCTGGCCATGTAAATGAAAATCAAACATGCAAGGGTTGATAAAGAAAATCGCGAATTTCACAGGGTTTTCCCCCACGTATACCAGTAGGTTTGTATGTCCTGGGAGCGGCATACCCTCACTATTGAAATATGGTATGTTTTTGGCGCTCTCCGCCGTGTTTTGTGTTTTCTATTCTATTCTGCCATGTTTTAGCCTTTCGTTTCCTCTGATTTCGCGTTCGTCCCTTTTAATTAAATGAAGTTCCTCCTGGCTTTAATTAACATCCAATTTATCTGCCTCCCAGGGTCGTGCACGTGTAGCATAATGTCCGGCGATTATGGGTTCATTACCCGCTGTGCCAATGGCCTAGTACAGGTGAACTTGAAACGTTTGGAAACTGGGCAACTGGAAGTTCAATGTCGGTGGGTATAAGCCCGATGACCCAAAAAACCGGACAAGGCAAGAAAAAAGTATATAGAGGCAGGCCCATCTTCAGGTAGGCCTAAGTGGCTTTCCATGTTCGGCTGCAGTTCTGCCTATTCGAGTCATAAATCTCCACGTCCTAACACGCCCTGTCTTTGGCCTAGAATGTGGGTCAACACAGTTTCGTTTTGGGCCGAAACCAAGCCTCAGAGTGCACTACTTCTCTGAGGACTTTATTAAAACTGTAAGGTCTATGCTTTCAATTATACATTAATTTGAAAAGAAATCGAATCCAAAGAATTTAAACTGACAGGACCTCTTCAGTTGATGCGGCATACGTCACTCTCGCTCAAGGAGCGCCTCCAGGGCAGCTCTTCGGGCTTCTTGCTGCAGCCACAATCGTACCTCGTCTCCTTCATGGGATGGACTTCGGAGGAGCAGCTTATCGAGTCGGTGGCCACATGGAGGCGGGCCATCTTGGCGTTCTCGGACACCAGACTATCAGCGCTGTTCGATCGCCGGCACATCTTACCCTTGGGTATGTCGTTCAGCTTGGAGCAGCCAGAGTTCTCGATGTTGTTTTGTATGATGTGGCGTGTGAAGTAGGAGATGATCTTCTGCTTGATGTGCCGGTTCCATAGTTGCCCGTGGGCACAGTTCTCCCGGATCCAACGGCGGGCCTCTCGACATCCCAGATAGAAGCTCTTATCCTTGGAGCTGGATCCTCCATACAAAACGTGATGGCCGAAGTCCTTGTTGTCCAGGACAAAGCCATGTTGGGTCAGGAGACCGAAGCCCAGATCAAAGACATTTCGCGGCAGGTTAGGTGCTTGGGGTCCGTTCGCGGTTTGGAACTTGTTGGGCCCCACCCCCTCCATGGGGGTGAGAGTTTCCCTGTAGAACCGACGATCCTTACTCGAGCAGTAGTTCCACCGCTTAAAGGTTATGTTGCTACCCCTCACGTCGAATTCCACCGGCAGGCAGTCGTTGAAGTTCATCTTCTCAATCTTCTCGAGGCGACCATTATTGTGGACTACGGCAAAGGTGATGCCAGCAGAATCAGGCATCTGGATGGTGCCCTTTCCATGGAATCGATTGTTGAGAAAGTACCCCGAGTAGCGAGTGCCATCAGGGTAGACGTACGTTCCAAAGTCCTGCATGCCCAGGTCGTTGCAATTGCCAGTGAATCGTGATCCGGTCAGTAAGGAGTCGTCGTATTGTTTGGCGCTATTTCTAATATTCTTTAGGTGGTGCATCTTCTCAAATGAGGTGGTTTCCGATCCGAAATAAAAAAATCGTTTGTGTCGGAAGAGTTTTGAATAAAAAATGCGACAGAGTTCTCAGAGTTATCTAGAGGGTATCTTAATTCATTCCTAATTCCAGAGCACATTAGAGGTTTCAATCAGTGACTTCCGTCAGGTCCCAAGATATTCCAACAAATCCATTCTAATGGGCATGTTAATAGACTTTTGACTAATTACCTTTCCTTGACTTTTCGTATATAAGCCCGAAAAGCAAAGCAGAGAGCCAATAATACCTTTCCTGGAATTATGAATTGTTTGTTGGTAGTGCTATTAGCTCTAGTCCCCTCTTGGGCGGCTGGTGCCTCTTCGGATAGTCCGGAGAATATCATCACTAATGGAAATCCTGCCTACGACGGGCAGGCTCCCTATGTGGTGGGCATGGCCTTCCAGTCGAGCAACATCTGGTGCAGCGGCACCATCATTGCTGACACCTGGATCCTCACATCGCCCGCCTGCTTGACCGGAAGCACCGGAGTAACCATATACTTTGGAGCCACCAGGCTTAGCCAGGCCCAGTTCACCGTGACTGTAGGCACCGGAGCATATGTAACTGGCAACAAGCACGTCGCCCTGGTGAAGGTACCTCGGGTAGGATTCAGCAATCGAGTCAACCGGGTCAACTTGCCGTCCATGCGGGATCGCTCGAGCTACGACAACAGGTGGGCCAGTGTCTGCGGCTGGGGAGTGACCAGCCTCAGCAACTCCCAGCCCGACTGGCTGCAGTGCGTCGACCAACAGATCATGCCCAACTCCGAGTGCGCCGCCTTCTTCGGCTCATCCACTGTCAACGACCAGGTCCTGTGCACCCGCACTCCCAACGGACGATCCCCCTGTTTCGGCGACGCCGGCAGTCCTTTGGTCACCCAACAGGGCTCCATTGTGGTGGGCATATCCGAGTTTGTGGCCGCCAATGGCTGCACTTTGGGCATTCCGGCAGGATTCGCCAGGATCACTAGCCAACTGGAATGGATTCGCAGATACACTGGAATTGCCAACTAAAGTGGGTTCTCTTCCAGAATTCTAATAAATGCATTGAATTGAAAAGAAGAGTCCCTTCAAGGGATAACAAGAAATTTTAATCGTGGAAAAGTAAAACATGGGATTGTACCAGGACAACTACAGTTCGAAAATGGATCGAGTCATGTCCATGTAGCTAGTGCGACGGATGAGATTCGACTGGACCACGTTGAAGTTGTCGCCGACCTTTTTCTTGCCCATGATATTGGCGGAAAGGTAATCGTCGCTGATCTTGATTCCCAGCATGCACTCCCCAAAGCTATCCGACTCGCAGCTGGACTCCCCGCCGGACTGCGGATTGCGGACGTCCGAAGTGCTGGTCCATTCACGTGGCCGGGCCACCGGATCCTTCTTTGGCTGGCATGGGTTTTGCTTCTGGAGCCTCTGCTGCTCCTGCTCCTGCTTATCCAGCATGCGGGCATAGGCACGGACGCACAAATCAGTAGCGCGGGCAGGGTCGTCGGGACCAAGGGGTTTTTGGCGGAGGGTGGATGCCTGCAGGGGATTTTGATCGCCGGGGGAGCTATTCCTGGCGCCGGCTCGCGGCTTGTCCAGCTTGTGGTAGTAGCGGTCGCGATCTACCTTGCCACGAGGGGCGTAGATGGCCGTGCGCTGCATCTGCTCCCGCTCCGTGGCCAAATTGTTCGCAATGACGCTTCGGCACATGCTTGGCGATGGCTCGATAATGTCCGTGCTGCGGGCTTTCCGGCAATTCCGCATTATCCAGTCCTTTTCCTGCTGACATCCCACATAGGTGGTGCCAGTGAAGGGGGCGGGGCGCTCGGTGAGCCACCCGGTTTCGGCGTTGTAGATGCCCTCCTCGGCATCGTAGCAGCCCTTGGGCACCACCCTGGGCAGGAGTTTGGCGGTGAGGAAGGAGGTAGGACCCACCGGCTGCTGGCCGTAGCGCTTCTCCGGATGGTAGCGTCTATCCTGCGGCGTCAGGTACTCCCAATCCGCACAGTCCAGGCCGCTGTTGGAGAAGGTCCCCTTGACGTGCAGGCCGTCGGAGAACCACATATCCTCGATGGTCACCAGCCGGCCGTGCTCGAACTCGCCCTTGATGGTGAACTTGTACGGCTGGGCTAGACGTAGGTGGCCGAAGCCATGGAACTGGCCCTGCTGGAAACGTCCCCGGTACTCGCTGCCGTCCGGATACCGATAGCTGCCAAAGCCGTCCATCACGTTCACTTGCTTGTCCCAGGCGCCCTCGTAGCTGCTCCGCGTTATAAAGTGCCGCAGCTGGGTCACTACAGTTTCGGGGTGCGCTTGCGATTGCGACATTATGCGGATCTTCCAGCGTTTCCAGCGTGTGTATCAGTTTTGGCTTCGTCTCGGATGGAAAGGGTAATTGTGTTGTCGAATAAACCAAACGAACTCAAACGTGTCAATTGACAAACTCCTGACCCACTCGGCCTGGCTTGTTGAGATTACGCCTCAGCTTTACGACTCTATAAATGTTTGCCCTCCCGAACCCACCCATAGCCGTACTGCTCTGGCCATTCTGACTCGGGGCAGAGTGCGTTCCATGTCCAGTGTGTCCTGCGGTCCTGGGTGTGTCCACCGCATTCTCTGGGTTTATGCTGTTGTCGCATGTCTGGCCTAATGAACATCGGGATACCCTGGTGCCTGACATAGCCAGTTGGTTGCGTGATTTTGTGGATTGTGGTAAGAGCGCTCTACCTGCCTGGCTATTTAAATCTGATTTAACTTGTTTAGTAACTCTGTAAATTTTAGACATATCTTGGAAAAAGACTATCCTAAACTGTAGAATAGGTATGAATTCTTCCAGAGAATCTTGCATTCCTCGAGACCCCCTTTATTGCCAACTGGCTCCTGTCCAGCTCCGGAGTAATAAATGATTTTAACTGACCGTTTAGGTGGCTCAGCAGGTCTTTGCATTGCTTGACCTGGCCAGCTCTGGAAAAAAGAACCAGAAACAGCAGTGACCGCCAGTTAAGTGCGATTGGTGTTTATGGCCTTTGGCAATTGCTGCAGCTACCTTTCGCACCCACACCCTGGCTTATGCCGTTGGCCTGGCCAAATCGTAAGCACTCCCCGGCGGGCCGTAAATCATGCTCACTTACCTCACTGGTGGCGCCAGTGGCCATGTTGCTGCCACTGCTGCTGTGAAAATCGACGGAACCACCTGATGAGCGCCGCGGCTTGCCGATGTCCAGGCGCAGGATTCCCGGCTTGGGACGCCGGGGCGGAGCAGTGGTGGCTGTGGCAGTGGGAATGGTGGTGGCAGCTGGTGGCACGGCATCGGGACTGGCAGGCCCCGGAGCTCCAGATGGCTCCGCACTTTCACTGGCCTCGGTCAGCATGGTCAGGAGCTGGACACTCTGTACGAAATAAATTGGGTTGCCCGAGCTGGCAGCCAACCAAATACGCGCGATTCACTGCGCACACACGTCCGCCGTGCAGCGCCAACGCGAACAGACTATGCCCGGGTCCTGGCCACAATATCCATATGTCCTGGAAGCAACAATTACGCGCGCAGCCACGGGCACTGAAAATAAAATGTGAATTAAACGCGCCACCCACGCGATAAGTGTCAATGAGTAAGTGTGTCTGTGGGTATGTGTGGTCATGTGTCCTGTGTCCTGTGTAGCTGCTATGTGCGAAGGCTCGAGTAAGGATGACGTTGGACACGGACAGGACACGGGGCACTTTCAACTGTTTCACATGACACAAAGTGAACTTCCTGCTTTCAGGGTCACCACAGCCTATCCTTGTGTAATTATGTCTGCCGCTGCCCCAAAAAATGTCAACAGCTCACCGTTGAAACCCCCAGTTTCCCCCCCAAAAAAAGGACACACGGCAAAATATCGCATGTCGCATTCGCCACGTGAAAATTTCCATTTTTCATTTTCACATTTTTTGTGCTCACTTTTCATTTTTATTCCTTGCGCCTTCCATTAGTGCGTTGCGTTGGCTCATGTCCTTAATTATGAGCGCACAAAAGTTGCCTTCACTTTGTTTTCTAATTTGGATACCTATTCTACGGGGAGTGTTTAGCTTTTAAAGATGAAAGGTGTTGGGTACTTAAAGATTTCAATTTTTTAATTTTCATAGCTTCAATTGGTCGGCTGGAATATTTTCCATTTCAAATACTCACCGCATTGCCAAATACATCCAGCTACCAGCAGGAGGTATAAGCAATTCGAACCCCCAACCGAAAGGCAAAGAATATCTCCTCCTCGACACTCCCACTGTGGCAGAATGCGCTTGTTAGATGGCAGCAAGCCAAGCCCACCTGCTGTGCGGGGCTAGGATGTCCTAGGATGTGCCAGGATGTGCCCGGCTGTATGCTCGCATATCCATGTCCGTGTCCTGGTATATGCCCTGCTGATATGCAATGCTTTTCTATTACATGCAAAGCGCGTTAAATTAATTGAACTGTAAAGTGTCAGCAGCAGGAGCAGAAGCAGGAGCAGGAGCTGGCTTGCTGGTTGCATGTGCCAGTGGCAGGCGAGGAGAGGAGCTTGTTACCCAGCATGTTGCATTTAATTTTTATTATTTTCACTTTATTCTATTGCGTTGAACCAGAGCAACTAATATTAATTTAACTACGGGTTATGCTAGTGCCTAAGTAGCTTATAAAAAACTTTATCTTTTTCAAAAGCAAGTGCTTTTTGCTTTTTTATGGGCATGTGCGTGTGTGCGGTTTCTGGTTTATGCTTAGTACAAATTTCAGTTTCAGTCTCAAAAAAATTGTTTGCATAAATTAACTAAAACCATTTACGTATCTTAATTTGTATGCATGTTCTATAAAATTTCGTACCTAAATGGAGAATGTCATAAAATCGTTAGGATAATCGTCATTTTATTGTGATGTCGGGCAATAAACGGAAAATCTGCCAAATAATGCAATAAAAACTTCCCTCACTTTGATGATGATTGAAACCCATTTGGATCCTATATACTACATAAGTAGATAAACCCCTTGAAAATTTGAATTGCAAATTTGTCTTTATCCCGGTGATTGTCACAGTATTTCACAGATGTCTCTCTGCATATTCAACTAACCTTAAAATATATATCTGGCTTTACTAGACCCTACCTTAACCTTTCAAAGATGCAGTACATTCCGACCTTTGATGCTGGTTAACTATTGTTCCTATCTACCTATCTACTTTTTACTTACTTACTTCTTGGTGAACCCCTTCGTTTCTTATTTTATAGCTAACGAATCCCCATAAATTTCGAGTAAATCGCTTATACGCCACGTATGCCGCAAGCATGGTTTGCATTTTCCACAGCAGCTGACTTAAATTTATAGAGTTACCCCCTCGAACGGAATAGAAGAAGGAAAAACTCCATCCTAAAGGCAGCCATAAGTGGAAGGGACTGCCAAGCGTAAAAGTAGAATCGATTTATGCATAAAAACGGTGGTGCTGGCACAAAATTTATGAATAACAAACATTTGATCTTGTTTTTTTTTTGGTCCTAGGTTGCATAAAGCAGGAGCTTCAGTTTCCCTTCAGGAGCTTTTCCGGGGTTTTCCTTTTTGTTTTCTCTTATTTTTTTGGCTGCTGCGCCACTTGGTGTTGTTTGCTAAGCTTAATAACCAGTTTTTCTTATACCCGAAAAGTTGGTCAAGTTCAGCAGTAAATGCTCTTTTGGCTTCTGGCCGAGAGTGAGTGTGTGTGTGTGCTTGCTTACCTGGTGCTACGTGGCGTATGATTAATGTGCGTGGTTTGTTCGCTTAATGAATTGGCTACAAGGAGCCAGCCAAAAGGCACCATGAGTGCTGGCCAAATACTTTCATTTAGTTAATACTTAAATACACATTGAGCTCAAGTTTTATGCCCACTAATTGACTTATGTCTACTCGCGTGCCTGTTGCATGGCATCTCAATGAGCATGTCCTTTCGTTTCGTTTCATTTCGTTTCGGTTTGGGGTTAATTTGGTCCTTTAGTCTATTGGTTGGTCTTAGGACTGTAGGCCTATTTATCAAACGCTTTACTTAGGGCTATGCTAAAAACTCACTTAACAGCTAATAAACGCACACATTACGGAAATTCGAGGACGGACAAGTCCGCCAGTCCTAAGTTGCCGAACTCAGAACGTTGTCACTTTGCCCAGACGCATGCCGAGCAATTTACGACGCTTTTTGGCGCTCAGCTTTGTCCAAATGGTGCTACTGCCCTCCACCAAAAGAAATTCGTCGCATAAATCATCCGTCTCCTTGCCGGCGATGCCTCCGCCGCCGCTGACACCATAGAAATGATCCTCTTGGTACTTCTCCGAACGGGAGTCACCGGAAACGAAGCCGCTCTCCGGCCGGGATAGGGAGGCGGTGTGCCAGGGCAGTTGTTGGAACCAGCGCGCCACTTTCGCCGTCGAGGAGAGCTGTGAGATGGGAGGGAAATAAGTAAAGTCAGTGTGTAAATTTATGCAAATGAGTTATGTGCGCAAATTGCTGCCCACCAGCACAAATCCACGCGCCGCAAGGAGAAAAAAAAGCGAGAAATACCAAAACGAACTACCAAGTAAAGTGAAAAATGGCGACACTTGTTTTTCTTGCTTCGTTTTTCATTTATCAAGGGGAAATTTATGCACTGCCAGAGGGGGCGTATACTTAATGCGCTTAAAAGTATGCTGCATGTTTTTGTCGTTCTGCTGGCCGGGCCGGGGCGGGCCGTGCTGTGCCGTGTCGGAAAAGTCATTAGGGAAATTGCCCAACCCAAGCTTTAACTCTCAATTATTAATGATAATCCATGTGTGGCTAGGAACAAAATAATTTCTGCTCACTGCTTATATTTTAACATAATTATTCCATTTTTTATTCATTACTTCAGTTGTTTTGCCATTCATTGTTGTTGCTGTTCTATTTTCAACTAAATATGTATATCCAGTTTACAATTCAATTATTTTTATTGTTGAGAGGTGAACGGAAGCCTATATTGAATTAAAGTACAACAATTTACAAAAATAACAGTTTATATATTCAACTTAACCAGTTTAGACTCTAGACTTTAAAGCTTAATCACTAAGTGTATAGATAGATATTTTTTTTTAAATATATGTATTATTTTTAAAGGGAAGAGAAAATACTTTTTGAAACGTTGACGTTTTGAGCAAGTTTCTTCGTTGCTGATATGCCACTAATTGTTCTTTTTTCTTTGGTTTTTTAGGATTATGTTTCACAAATACTTTCACTGACTAGACAAAATAGACATCCTAGAAACTAGAGCCAAGCACATTGGCACTGTGAGCTGTTAAATAAATATTTTACACTTAATGGCGGGGCAAATAATATTTGGCACACCTCGGGATTACCTAAAATGCAAACTAAAAAGTATATGGTTCTCCTAAATTAATACTGTTCAGCCAACACACATTCACTCAGATCCCATTCAGCACTCCGCAGTGCACTCTTTCACTCTGATTATGCCCATGGTCCGATTGTGGTCCTGTTCAGGACTCGTCCTCATCTCATTTGGTGGTGTGCCTGGCCCAGGCCGTCCTCTGGACCTGGCTCATCATTTGGCTGCGATTTGGCACCTTTTCGCTGGTACTCCTCGTTATGAAACTCGGCGTAGCCGACAGCTTCCTCTGGTGTCCGGCCTCGTCCGTCACTCGAAGCAGCACTGTATTGAATCGCGTATCTCGGCTGCTACTGTTGCTGCTAGTGTTGTTGCCGTTGTTGTTGTTATTCTGGCTACTGCCAGGACTAATGTTGTTGTTGCTGTTGCGCAAACGTGGCGATGAAGGCGAGTCCAGGGTGGAGGAGCTGCGACTGGTATCCCGTGTGCTAGTGGATCCGCCGCAGGCCAGGCCGGCCAGATTTCCATTCGATACGGCCGCCTTCAGCTGCTCCTCCAGGTTGTTCAGATTGTGTTCGATGCTCAGGCGGATATCCTCGTTCAAGGACGAGCTCCCGGCGAAGGAGTTGCGATTCATCGTGCCCAGGGGCGACGGCGTCAGTGTGCCGGTGGCTGCTGGCGATGCCAGAAAATTAAATCCTCCCGCCCCAGCTCCGCCGTTGTTGTTCGCCAGGGTGGAGGGTGTAGCCGGGGTGCAGGACAAAGGATTCACATAGAAAAAGGAGTTTGCTGCTGGGGGCTGACTCTGAGCTGGATTGGCATTGAGATTCAGGGCCTGCAGGCGATTCAACAACTCCTGATTGACCTGGAACAGATCCTTGGAGAGGGCGTCCTGCTGCTGCTGTGCCTGCAACTGATTGCTGATGCTCTGCAGCTGGCTCATCGAAGGATACGGGCTACTGCCGCCCACTGGAGGCGGCGTGGCCGGCGTCAGTTGCGACGGCTGCGAGGTTGCAGGCGTTTGCTGCTGCTGTTGCAGGTTCTGAAGGTGCTGGCTCTGCTGGTTCAAGCCACTCAACTGGTGACTCAAAGAGGTCAACTGTTGATTGATGCTGCCCAGGTTACTGATCTGCTGGTTGATGGTGGCCAGGTTGTTGTTGTTGCTGGTGGCCTGGAGCAGCAGCTGCAGCTGCGATTGCTATGATTGGGGGAGGAGAGTGGGTTGGCATTAGAGGTGTGTCGTCTCCTCCGAAACAATGAACTCACAACACAACAATCAAACGAAAACAACTATAAACATTCGTGCATAACAAGAAACGGCAGCCAAGAAAACAAAAACCATGCAGGGCGCAAAAAGTACAATTTACGATCGCATAACTCAAATGGGCGTAAAATAGAAATGGTATAGGCTTGGGCTTGGAGAACCTACCTGGGGGGCCATGCCAATATTGGCCGATGTCAGGCCGGCACTCTGCTGCTCGTTGTAGGCTCCCAAGGAGGCCAAATGCTCGAGCAGCTCCCGGTTCTGCTGCAGCAACTGCTGGGTGCGCGCCTGTCAAAGGATATTATTTGGCTTTATGACTTGAAGGACTTTTTATTAAAGGACCCTTACCTGCGCCTCAATGCGCGCATTGGTCTCCGAGATGAGCTGCTCCCGCACCAACATCAACTGGCCTAGGGCCTGACGCGTTTGGAGGGCCTGGGCCTCCAGCTGGTCCTTCAGTTGGGTAATCTCAGTGCGCGGCGAAGAGGGGGATCCTAGGGACTTGTCATCCACATCGCACTGTAATGAGCCATTTTAAGAGACATAAACTTTAGTTTTAGAAGACACATAACTCGGAAATGGGTAGTTTTTAAAGAGCTTTGAGCTTAAGTAGCCAGAACTATAAAAATCATAGCTGAGAGAATATAAAGTTTTGAATTCCGAAGAGGCCATAACTTTGAAATAAAAAATTGTCAAGAAACTATATACTATATTTGGCATTAGCTGGTTTTGGAATAAAGTTCAAATACAGCCTTCTAAGAAATAAATCCTTCAAAACTATAAACCATAAATATTAGAGTATAAAAATCATTTACAAAATAAATATTCTCCAACATTCCCATTTCATAAAATAAACATTGTCTCTAAAAAATAATTTGTAGTAAATATTTGGTCTATTTGAAATTGTGCCAGCAGAGCAATAGAGCCATTAACAATACATTGTTTAATTTTATTCGACTTTTTAATGAAGAATAAACTATATTTTCATTGTTTTATTTTGTGAGCAGCCTTGACAGTTCTCGGGGGCATTGAAAAGTTATTGTATCTGAAATCTTATTGTTTTTTCTTCTGGCTTGTTTACCTCCGATCGCCTTGTGTGGTAAACACAAATGTTGAATATTATTTTATACATTATGACCTAAACAGAAGGCAGCCCGAAATGGGCCACATTGTATATGATTTGATTTTTTCTCTTTAATTATAATTATGTGAGATTTCTGATTAAATTGGTAGAGCAAGCATTTTAATGGCCCAGCCAGGATACAGCCAATATTCGGCTATTATTGGCAGGCCATTAGCCGTGATGATTATGGATTAATGCAATGATGGAAGGAAGTTACTCACCAGAAGGCTGTTCGATTTGCGTAGATTCGAGTGCGACGGCATTAGCTCCAAGTGGCTCGGACGTTGCGGCTGCGTGCGATTCAAATCGGGCGATATGGCCAAGTGCTCTAAAAATAGTGAATGAAGAATATGGATTTTCGGATTATTAACGGAGCGTGTAAGACCTCGGCATCGCCCTCCAATTTGTCAAGGTCGTTTCTCGGCTAACCCACACGATTCGCACCTGGTGGTCCCACAACCCACTCGTCCACACCCGCCCCAAAAAAACATACTACTTTCGCGCTTAATTTACCATTAATTACAGCGTCTAGAGTTCGTTATTTGTTTTGATTATGCTCTCGGATCAAATAAATAATGAAACAATTATCTCGAGACCCGAAAGATACTTGCATGACTGGCCGGCCGTTCGAAGTTCAATGCAAAAAGTTTTCCGTTTCTGTTTACAGCCACCATTTCCAATTTGATTTGTTGGCAAATATTTAAGCAATTTCTGGCAATCCGCGAATCGAATATATTACTATAGTATATGGCTTCGTTTCGCACCTGCGGCACGTGTGTTAATGGCCAGCGAGTACTGTAAAAATCCTTCACAGCATGTAAATTAATTTTCCGATTCGCAGTGGTTTTTACAAATTTTTGCTCGTTGGCATATAATTGATCGAATTGGCCAGCATGTTCCCTTTTCCAAAACAAGGATTCATAATGCCTCTAAAAACACATGTTTTCCTTGGCTATAATTAGCCAAGATCATTTCGTAGCCAAGACTTTTACAACCGAAGTGACCTATTTCGAGGAACACATCATTCTCAATTAGAGAAAATGACCGAAAAACTCGACAAAACAGCTGCAAAAAAAAAGTTTGGCGACACTGAACAATTAGTGATCTTTACTTTTCCCCAATCTACACAGTATACTTTGGATATATCTTCCTATTAGCACTGCCAACGAAAATATGGTAATGGATTAATGATATTATGGCCTGCTTATTACACATACGACCTGTTGGCGTCGCTGCGGCAGGCCAAAAACAATAAACGATTTTCATGTAATTGCGACTTTTCTTGCCGAGATGGTTCTCCGAAAGTAAAGCTGTTAATTCGATTTTTATTAGCCTTAATCTTGGGAACATAATATTGGGTGTCTCGCCGGTCTATTGGCCAATTTTCGAGGGACATTGAACCATGTCCTCTGGCGGGTAGCTCGATGCTGACATAATTCATTATTTTAGTGCCTTGCCGCTGGTTTGGCTATTAAAAAGCCAACAAGCTGAGGCGAAAAATTACTAGATGGCAAATATTAACAAGTATAAGGATAAGATATTGAAGTAAATAAATTATTTTTGGCACAAGCCGCACACTTTTTGGCCACCACGTGTGCCATTCGTGGTGTCGCCCAGCTCGGGTGTCGCCTGGCAACAAATTCAGTTTCAGTTTTCCCCCAAAAGCAGCCCCAAAAGCCAATTGGCTACTTGGTGATGCCATGGTTATGATGAAAAAAATCAGCAAATAATCCATCGACGATAAGCACCTTCCCCCCATACCATACTACTTTCCAATTTTTGTGCTTTATTTATATATTTATTCTTAGAATTTCATGCGAATGATGTCGCTGGATGGTTTTAGACAAAAGATTGCAAAAAGAATTGCTTTTCTCGTGAGGTTTTCAATATTTTTTCTTCTTATTTTTGGCATCGGCCAACGAGCGTTGATGACGTCAAACTACGCCTTGTCTGTGTAAAATGGCTTAAAGGGGGGGCACCGTCTCTCTGGTTGGTCGGAAAACCGCACAAAGATTATTGAAAATTGAAGCAATATGTGGAAATTGCTTAACAACGCCAAAGTGTATTTCGAAAGCGTGTGCTACTCTACTCGCTACATTTCTTTAACTTTTCTCTTAATATTTTCATCATATATATGCGTTGTAAATCGCCTTTTCTGTACACATGGATATATTGTATCTATATGTATGTATCTCTTTGGTTTATATCACGGGCATGCAGTTGCATACTGTGCGGATACTGTGTATTTACGGAAATAATGAGATGAAAACACTATTTAATGTTATACCAAATAAACAAGGCAAATCGAAACGAAATATTCACCATTTGTTTCTAAAAAAAATAAACTCAAAGCTTTATAAACTCTTAAGGGAGACTTAATGAAGCATTTTTCTAACAAAGCTCTCTCAGCTTGATCCTTTTTGTGTAAAGCCTTTCATTTTCATACTTGATTAATGTATACTTTTCAGTGTAGAATTAAAATGTTTCATTTTTAAAATGCAATCATTTCATTTCCCTCGATTGTTGTTAATTTTAAAGCCTTTGCCGTGCGATAACTCTTTTCACTTGACAGCCTCCCCGGAGGATGAAATGCAATTTAAATGCAAATGCTATTCCCGCTGATGCCACCACTGCCACTGCCATTGCCGCATCGAACTGAATTCGAAATTAAAGAGCAGAAATTTGCATTGAAATGCGAAAATGAATAGGAAACTAATGCGGCCAGGTCCAGCCAACAAGGTCCAGGAATCCACAGTATCCAGAGTACAGCGTTTCCCCACCCAGGAAGCCAGCTGACGGCGACGACAGCCAGAGCTTTTCACTTATTTATTGGCCAGCCAACGAACCCAGTTTCCCTTTTTCCATTTTCCCCCGGACTTACCCTCCAACAAAAATACATATATACTTTCTCCGGCACTCACCTTTCTTTGGCGTCTCGTTGTCGCCGGCACCTCCTCGCTCGCCGTCTTCGCTGAGCTGCTGCTCGCTGACTTGCTCCACGTCCAGGAGCTCCGAGGACGAGATGTCGGAGCGCTCGTCATTGGGTTCCAGGGAATTCTTATGAAGATTAAATTTGTGGCACACTTCAAAGGCTTGTCCGACGGTGCGAACGATGCGCATGGCCTGAGACTGCAACGACACAAGAGGCGTAGGAGAAGGGGGATTAATTTAATTGCATTATGGACACCCGCACCCGGGTAACCCGCCCCACTATTGGATAGCAATTAAGCCAGCACACCCCATGCCGCCTGCCCCCTAAAGAGCCACCCATTTGTTGCATTGAACCCACCTCGGGATCGCTTGACGCACAGCCGCAGGAAATTGCATCCTTTGTGCGATTATTGCATAAATTATCACAGTCCCCGATGCCTGCCGCGGCCACGCCTCCCCGGGTGCGTTCCAGGGGGGAGCTGCGACGCCTCTGCCTCGCCTGCCGCTGTTCGGTTAAAATTAGCGGCAAGATTTGGTCGCCGGCTATGATGGGCTCCCGAAAGGATAGCTTCTTGCGTGGCTTGTCGGTTTTTGGCCTTTCGAGCATAATGCTTCCATTTCCGTTGCCGGTGCCGCCACCGCCGCTGCTCAGACTGGAGCTGCTCTGCTGGTCGCTGAGACTCTTGCGGCGTTGCAGCTGATGTCGCTGCTCGGAGCGCTGGTGGAGTAGGTGGGCCCGACGGAGAGCCTCTGGCGAGGCCTCGTAATGATCGCCCGGGAGTCGCTTGAACTTCAAGCGGGCCTTCAGGACATCGCCGTTCTGGCTTGGAGCCGGGGTGGATGACTTGTGACTCGCCTTGGCCACCGGCTGCTCCTTCTTTATGATGTACACCGTGTTCTCGTCATCGTTGAAGAGTATGTGCTTGGGCTTATGGTCGATGTAGGTGTCGTCAAGGAATCTGGCAGGCTGGGGCACAACTGCTCCCCCAGCTCCACCGGCCAAGGGGGCTATCTCCCGGTCCACACAACTGATGAGCTCCCGGATGTCCAGGCTCTTGTTCCGGGAGATGTGCTTCATCTTCTTCTTCTGCGAAGGAACAGGCGATTGTGGCGGCTTGTCCTTTAGCTGGAGCTGCTTCTCGCCCACCAGGATGTCCCGGATGAGGCCGCCGCCACTGCGAAAGATGTTTCGATGGTAGTGCACCTCCGAGGCCTTATCCGCCGAGCCGGATGGGGTCTGCTGCTGTTCAGGCTGCTGATTCTGACTCTGGGCTTTGGCCGTGTTGACCTTGCTGCGGTTCCGGGACCAAGGTAGAAAGTCAAAGGCCTTGGTGATGGGACTGCGCTGCACGGTCTCCGATAATTGGGGATTTCGCTGTTTGTGCTGGGCAGCCATGGTGGGCAGTTTCTCGTGCTTCATGGCCAAAAGCATGAGAGCCAAATCGAAACCGAAATCGGAAGCAGCGGGAAGTTCAGTGATCTGCTAACAGCAAGGTCGTCCAATTCGCCAATTTGTCACTAGCCACTAGCTTTCGCTCTCACTAAGTTCAATGCTGTTCAATGATTTTCATTTAGCCAATTTAGTTGGCTATTAATTTCATAATTGCTTCGGGACTCTGCTTAGGGTTGTGCCTTCAGCCCGGTTATTCACACTCGACCAATGCGCCATTTTTTCGCACCTTTGAGGTGAGATATTGTTTATGTTCTTTTTCCACGGACTGTTATTTTTGTTTCTGTTTCTGTTTCGAGTTCTTTTGCGTTCTCATTTATTTGTGTATTGAATTATTTGCAACTTTTTCGGGTTGCCTGTATATTGGAAAAGAAATATTCATATATTTTTGGATTATTTTTTGAATTTCGAATATTTCTGCCGCGCGCGTTTGCAAAGAAAACTGTCAATCCCATGTGGGCTTTTGTTTTGTTTAACCAACAGGCTCGTGTCAAGCATTGATGTGTTTCTTTTCTGATTCATGCATTTTGGAGGTCTTCGGGTAATTGATATTCTCCATATACTCTCTCCTGACTAATTAGGGCCAAGCTAGTTTCCACTCAAGCACTTATTAAGGGCTCCTACCTACCACTCTACCGTACACTTGTCTGAACGACACTAACAGCTCATCAATTTGAATTATTTTGACAAGCAATGACAGCACTTGTTGCGCAAAATGCTTACAACACACGCGGTCAATATTTGGGCAACTATATAGACCAAGTTCTGGGTTATTTAACAGTTCTTTCAAGGCAAACACTCTACCCCAAAAGAGGCGTCTCATCGTCTCAAGTGGTAGTGTTCCACCATTATTGCGCATACGCCACGTGTGCCGAGAGAAATCCGTCTATCTGCCATTCTGACTCGGAGGAGGTGCCAACTGATTGTCTATCTCGACTGGAGTCCCTTGTGCAATTCCGCATAAATCAAATTGAAAACTATCAAAAAAAAAAAAATAAACGAATAAAGTGTGTGGCAATTTTACATTCGTAAAAGCGAAAAAAAGCCAAAAACGAAAACTTAAATAAATAAAAACTGGCACTGCGAGTAAAGAAAATTGCGTGGCAGTTTCGTGGAAAACTACTTGGAAATTTATGGCCGTTCTGAAATGACTTTGTTAGCATTGTTTTATGTAGGTATTTATTTGAATTTTAATTCCCATTGGACTCGGTACAACAATCAAAACTGGCAGGCAGTTTGTTTGTTTTCGCCCCGTTTTCTCGCCTGTCATAAGGGAAAATTTTTTACAGCAAAAGAAAATCTTTTTGTCGGATTTTTATGCCATTGCTGGGAGGTAGGGGTGCAGAGTCCCCTACACTGTGTCGTCCAGCTGGCAAATGTTTACTGTGGCCATAAGTCGTCGACAGTGGTCGCCAGGACTGCAAATGTTGTCCAACCATTCGTTTGCAACCGCAGAAGCCACTTCCGCAGCTGCAGTTGCGAAAACGCAACTCGTAAATTCTGCACATTGTCACGTGGTCTGTGCAAGGGATTCTGCTACCAACTGCCACACACTTTGCACTAATGAACTTCGCATTAGTCATGCTTAAAAGCGGCACTTTAAAATTCAATTTACCAAACCGAAAAAAATCAAAAAAAAAGATCTCAAGGTATGTATTTATAATTCACCTCAAAGCGAAACACCTGCCCGCAGCCTCTCGGCTCTTGGCTCGTTGTTCGATTTTAGAAATACTTTAAAGTAGGCTATTAAAATAATGGATCTATTTTGGCTTTAAATGCGAAAAAAGTATAAGAAAACCGAAAACAAAAAGTGAGAAATGAAAGGAAAACAAAGCGAAACGAAATGTCGATGGGGGCAGCCATTTTTGGGAAATACTGGGTACTGTGGCTGGGAAATATAAGAAAATTATTGGAGGCGGGGGCATTGGGCGGCTTCCCACCCGAAGGCAATGCCATTGCCAGAATACCAAATTACAAAATGGCACACTGGCAATAGGTAAATTAAATTAAATTCCCCCATTTTGACTGTGAAACTATTTGCCATAAATTGGCATAGAACCCGAGCCAGCACAAAGTTATGTTAATAAAAATATTTTTGTGCTCCTGACGTATGCTTTCTGCGATTGTGCTATTGTTCGTTTGCCTATAGGCGCTGTCAAAATTTCTTTATCCAAATAAATAAGCCAGCCAAAACCATAAATATTTCAACTTAAATATCACGTGTGCGTTCAACTTATTGACCATAATTTTATTTATTTATACCAGGCTCCTCATTTCCTGTGGCTACCTGTGGCGAGAGTAGCTCATTAAGTTTTGCTTTTTTTATTTTGTTTTTCTGGGCTAACAATTAATATGCATAAACAGTAAATATTTGAAAAATATACGTCATGCAACTAAGTTTGGATGAAAATAAATCCAGAACTGTTCGGGGTACTTTTTGAGAGGCTTGTGTTGGGGATTTTCTTTCCCAATTAATTTTCTGGTCAGTTTTCTTGCTCTTATTGGTAATTTTTCAATTCTCAGAGCCTGATTGTTTTGTTTTTGGGAATATTATAATATTATTTTATGCCGTCAGCTAGAAACCAATGACAAAACACTTTTGGTACACCTCCCACTTTCTGAAGACATTCAATTTCTCGCCTCGCTGGGTGTTATGATCTATGGGACATGCCATTTTCCGAATTTATTTCGCCTGTATGGCTTGACATTTGCTTTGCTGTTTTATTTTGTTTTTGCTTTGCAGGTGGCAGAAATATTCGTTTTAATTTTGATTTTATTTATAATTTGTTTTGATTATTTTGGATTTTTTGATCGTTCACTTCACCGACACTCACGCACTATTGCATAATTTTGAAAATGACTTTCGACCACGAATGATGTTCACGTCTGCAGAGGCGCGCCGTCTAGAAGGCACTGGACAAAGAATCGAGAGAGTAGAATCGACGATCGACGATTGCCGGCTAAATGGGTAAATGGCCAAAATGGAAAAGCTTTCGGCCTGAGCTTTTCCGCTCAGCTGTTAACACGATCGATCGTTTGTTTTGTCGAGTCGAACGGCTTCATGCGGCGTTTGTTTTGGATCCCCTGAGGGGGAGGCCGCCGCGCCGGCACAACACTGCGTATACTTAATTCTGCAGCCGATTGTGACGTCATTGCTTTGTGTTTCGCGGAAGTAAACAATGGTCTCTCTTAGCGGCTCCTGCTTAGCCATAAATCAAATACTTTCTGGCTAATTGCGCTGCAATCCCAGGTACCTCAGGTGCAGTGCAATGTGCCGCGTGACGCACGCACACCCGGCCAACACGTGCAACACCCCCTCTGGCCTTAATTTCTTGTGTCACTTGTCAGACATCAGTCGACAGTCCTCCCCCCAAAAAAAATAAAACACACAGTCGTGTCACAATTTTTTTGTATCTCGTGTATTGGAATTCCTTCCAAGAAGTCTGTTTGTTAATTAGAAAGGAAAAAATAGAAATGCCAACTTGACATTGTCTACAGACATGAAGTTGAAGGCCAGACGAATATAAATACCACGAATATTGGCTCTGCAGCATACTTTCCTATACTACTTATGTATGCTTTCATAAATAAGATTTGAAATAAATTTCTCCGGGCTTGAAATTAATCAAAAACCGCATTCGTCGCAGAAATCAAGGCTAAATGCATTTTCCCTCGGGCACTGGGGCCAGCCACAAAGTAAAATCTGATTTATTTATTCGAGAAGTATGGTGGCGAGAATGTCGCCTAGAGAATTAGAGAACCGGTTGGGAGAATCTGTGGGGTAAGTCGGGTGGCTAGCATCCATATAACACGGAAATGGATGTGCCCCGGCTGGCGGTCCACCCCTGATGGACAGTTGCGCCAGAAATTGTTTAGATCCCCCCGTACTGTGTAATGGCCAGTGAAAAATTGGTCTAGACTCGCTTGGATTGACACTGAGAAATGATCATCAGTGAAACAAAAATCTTAATGGAAAACAAAAGTTGCCCAAAAATAATTGTAAAGATTTGAAATTATAGATTCTCAGGAATATATTTTAAAAAGTATAAGTAAAGATTATTAAACAATAAATTCTCAGTATTTAACTTTTTCCATTTAATATATCTTCCTAGAATTACATCACTGTCTATTGATTTCGGTTTCACAGCCAATATGCTCATTAGAAAGACCTCCACAACTACCAAACTAATACAAATTAGATCAAATAGATCGCCTTTATAGCACATCTAATAACTGCACTTCGCATCTTTATGGCGTGGATATATTTTGTGTTTTTGTTTATTTGCTAGTTGCTTGCTTTTCGGTTTTCCAATGCTGGACTCAAGCCAAAAAAAATGCATACATGTAGACATTTAGCACAGGACCAGTATTATTTATAGAGAATCCATGGGTGGCACTGCCTCTGGGGGGCTTGGGGGCAATGGGTAATGTCAAGTAAGTCACATGTAGTCCAAATACCTCCCCCAAAAGGTTAGAAATATGACCCATAGTTTTTGTATTATATTTTTAAAGAAATTTTACCTTTTTGTGACTTTTGAAGACGGAACATTTGAACGTATCCGTACTGGCATCGCGCGCTATGTAGCTGAATATCTTGAGATCGCTGCTGTCGTGGGACACGTAGAATATTCTATAGATGGGATGATTGAGCAATTCGATTTCCTCGGGGTCATTGGTCCAGTTCTTTTTCTACAAAATAATACAAAATAAATAAATAGTCTTTTTGTTTGGTTATAGTCGGCATTGACTTACTTTTCGACGACGTTTCTTGAGCACAACGCGCACGCCATTTACCGATATGTGGATGGTGACCTTTCGCTTCTTCAGATTCTGAACTTTGCACTCGTACTGTAAAGAAAATCGATATATAATATATAAACATTAGGTGGAATATAGAAAATATCGAATGGCAGTGTGTGCGGGTCGCGTAATTCCGGAATTTTCAATTAACATTTGACTGCCTGTGACGGCTGTTCGGCTCCTCAGCTAATAGCAGAGACATGACAATAACAAGCGCCAAAGTTACCACTTCTTCTTGCCAAGGCTAATACAGTAAGCACACATACACTCACTCATATAAGCGCACATCCAGGCTAACACGATTTAAGCCAGGACACGCACGACTTCACAAAATGGCGGGAAGGAGAAAAAATAAACAAGCCTCGTTACTTTTTATGCTACTAAAATGGATTTTTTTAGCTTTTCTTTCTTGCCTTCTGGGCATGGAATGTAACTGTAATCAAAGTATGTGACGCTGACAAACAGAAAGTGTTTCCAGGTTTTTTTTGGAAACTTGAAAACCGCCTCAGGACTTCGGGTCTCCAGGACTTGAACCCGTATAAAAGTTTCTTTAATTGGCAGTCGGAGATATGCATATCCTTTCACAAACTTGACTCTGACGTGCGGGCTGTTAACTTTTCAACATTCCCTCTACGATTCAAAATTCATTTGCGTCCCACACGGCGTATGCTTAATAGATTTCTGGCCCATACCCTGATGTTGACTTACCCTTATGCGCCGCATGGCCTGGACGATCTCGGCTCGTGTGTTCGGTCGTGGCACTTCCTCCCAGCCAACAAACTGCAACGAGAGAAGCGGTGGAGAAGGGTATTTGTTATTGTTGATTACTTAAACAAAGGCTCAAGTTAAACAAGGCAACAAAGGCTGCTCGAGTGCCCTACAACTGGAGTGCCTTTCGCTGCCGCCGTCAACGGACTTTAAATTAAACAAATTATGTAGCTGCCGCACAGAGTTTTGGGAATATATTTTGCCAAAACGAGATTATTTATTAACAATCCAATAATCAAAAAAAAAGTCTTTAAATAAACAATTATTTGAACAAAAAAGTATATATAATTATTATAAAATGTCATTTATTTAAAACCAATTTCGCTGAAAAAAATATATATTATTCAGTGCAGATGCTTTTTATGCATCTGTTGCCAACTGGGGCTGCCATAGCCTCGACACAGTAAGAGCACAACTTTTTATTTTTGGCCGAAACACATTCTAATTTTAAGACAGAATTGCACTCGACTGCAATTGCTGTGACGAGGATCTGCCCTTCTGCCAAGTGCTTCAAGGGGACAGCCATTAATTGGTAACTAAACAAGCGTGAACGTCATTAATCCACTTTTCATTTCGCTGTCAGTCAGAAAAAGTATGTATATTTCTAGTGCCGCTTGGGGCAAAATTTATGGCCAAAAATGAATTTAAAATTGCGGCGACAAGAACCATAATTTGTTTTGCACTTGTATCGAGCAATTGTTTGAAAATAAAAACTGCAGCTCAAGGATAACAAATGCGTAGATATGGACCTAGATTTGTGCATTTTTATTACAGTGACAACAACAATTTAAATGCGAAATGACAGAAAAAAAGCGGGAAAATCGGAGAGAACGAGGCACTGATGATGCCATCGCGGGCTGACAGTGACAAAATGTGCATGAGATAGCAGCCACGCCTCCAATAACGCCCAACAATAAAAAATAAATATTTATGGAGCCATTCGAGAAGAGTTTTTTTTTTGGGGAGAAGCCTTTCATCTTCAAGTTATGGGTGTTTGTTATCCTTTTTGGGGAAAAAAGAAAAACAGAGAAAAGCAAACCATCTATTTTTGGGGGCCCAGCATATGTTTATTGTCTATTCTGTATGATCTATGTCAAGTTATGGTAAACAAATCGAAACTTTTGCGATAAATTTCTGCGAATGCTAATTCATGGATGATTAATGTTCCGGGATATGGATATGGCGTGTGCCCAATCGATATTGTTACTAAAAATAGCATAATTTTTTCAGCAGAAAATAGATTCTGGCATATTATTTCAGCAAATTATTAAAAAAATCAGAGTTAATGCCAGAGCTGATGGATTCTGGCCCACACAATGATTAATGCCATGTGCCCTAACCCAGTTCATTAGTCAGAAGGAAAAATAATGTTTACTTCCCCAGAAGAATAATCAAGCAAATATTCACTTAAGATTTGGCAGATGTTTTTCTCCAAAATATACACTCTAAAAAATATTTATTTTAGACCATAAAGCCTTGACATGCGTATAAATAGATATTTGCATGCCATTACCAGGAAAAGGTTATGAAAAGAGGCTTTAAAACTTCCCACAAAAGCCATCCGGCAGTAAGCCCATAAAAAGCCATTTACAAAAAGCGGAAAGCAGCCGAAGATGAAGAGCACAAATGGGATGGCAAAAAACTCTTACCCACAAATATTTGGATTGCATTAAATTCATGCAAACACAAAGGATAAAGGATACACAGAGCGCTTATCCTCTCCAGCTAGACAAATCCCCGCGCAAATAAAATAAAGAAAACCAACTTCAGACTCGAGCTGGGAAAACGCTTTCCCAGCGTCACTCCTCCTCTACTTTTATTTTTTATTTATTTTTTTTTTCGCATCCTTTAGCTATTCCCTTTCAGTTTTTGCCCAGTTTCAATGGCATTCGCATCCTTTTTTTCACTTAAAAACCATTTCAGTGCGACGGCTCTATGCAAATAGCCGCTGGACTTTGTTCGTCGCTTCGTTTAAATTCATTTACTTTGATTAAAACCCAAACCCTGGGATCCTGGACCTTACTTTACCTCCTCAAAAAAGAAGAAGGAGTAAGCTTTTAAAACCAAAGGACTGTGGATTTTAATAATTCGTTTTAAGGCATAACCATGTCTGCCTATAAATGTTTTATGATTGCAGAGGTTATGGTCCAGAAACAGTCATAGGTATGTAAACAAAGAATAGATGTTTTAGGACCTTCAGAGGCCTGTTGCTTAAGATATTTATTTTGATAAGCAAATAGTTTTTCAAACTTCAATGAACATCACAAGTGTTCTGACCCTTTTTCCATAATGACCATTTTAAAACAACTTTTATGTATTTTTTCTCGCGTCGTTTTCCCTTTTTGTTAA